TTGATTATGGCTTTCAGGTAGTCTAATGATTCTCACATTATCTTTCCTGGGTCTATTTTCTAGGTCAGTTGTTTTTCCAGTGAGGTATTTTATATTTTCTTCTATTTTTTCCTTCTTTTGAATTGGATTGATTCTTAATGTCTCATAGAGTTATCACCTTCCACTTGCCCAATTCTAACTTTTAAGGAATGGTTTTCCCCAGTTAGTTTTTGTACTTCCTTTTCCATTTGGCCAATTGTACTTTTTAGGGAGTTGTTTTCTTCAGTGGACTTTTATGTCTCCTTTTCCATTTGGCCGATTCTGGTTTTTAAAGTCATTTTCTTTTTCCAAGCTGTTGACTCTTTTTTCATAATTCTCTTGCATCACTCTCATTTCTTTTCCCAGCTTTTCTTCTGCCTCTCTTAGATGATGTTTATGTTCCTTTTTGAGCTCTTCCATAAGTTCTTTCTGGGCTTGAGACCACTTCCCGTTTTTCTTTGGGGTTTTTCCCAAAGGTGTTTTGACATTGTTGTCCTCTTCTGAGTTTGTGTCTTGGTCTTCCTTGTCATCATAATATTTTCTATGGTCACATTCTTTTTTTGTTGTTTTTTGCTCATCTTTTTTGGCTTTTTTTCCTTTCTTTTAAATTTGAACTCTGCTCCCAGGTTGACAGGGGCACTGGCTTCTTGTTCCAGTTGATGCAGGCCCTGGCTGTTTACCTAGTGCTGTACTGATGTTGCCCTGAGGCTCACAGGGGACCCTCGTGTCTGGTGCTGCCCTGAAGGGGTGGGAGATGGGGGTCACTGGCACTGCTGGAGGCCATAGGGGTCTGGCAGCTTACCTGGTGTGGGTCTGGGGCTCTGGTGCTAGTGTCTGGTGGGGTGTTTCTGCAATTCCCCAGGGCTACGCTGAAGCACATGGAGGTCTGGCTGCTGGAAGCTGCCTGTTTGCCTGGGGCTGTGCTGAAGCATGTGGTGGTTCTTGGAGCTGGAGTCTGTGGGTTCCCTTAGCTATCTATGCTGAGGCATGTGAGGTGTCCTAGTGTTAGCATTTGCCTGCTCCACCATACTGGGGCTCAGGATGTCCCACTGCTTTCCTGAGGTGGGGCTTGCTGCTGGCTTGTTGAGATGCTTCCTGTCCTGGTCTGTGTTCCCTTTTTGCCCAAGTAAGACAGACCTTTCTTGATGATCTTCCAAGTTTCTTGGGGCTAAAAGATTGTTTCACCTCATCTTTTTGCTGGTTCTGCTGTTCCAGTATTTGTTTTGAGGCACAGTTTTATGGTTGTTTGGAGGTGAATATGGGAGAGTTAGGGTGATTTATTACTTACTCTACCATCTTGGCTCCTGAAAGTCAAAACCTGACTGGTAGATTTCTTAGTGATGTTTTTTTCCTTTGAAATCAGGTAGAACATGTTGGTATTTTCTTACACTTCTTTTTCCATTTCTCCAAAAGAGCTGCTTGGCTGGGGTCACAAGATTACCAAAAGTGCTGAACAAATTTTATTAATAGCAGAGGTTCCCAGAGTGGGTGATACTGTCTCCTAGAGGGCTCTGGAATGATCCAGGGGGGTACTAGTAGCTTCATGTGCAATTGGGGGGGCTTTAAATAAAAATAAGGGGGCAATGGAAGCATAAGGAAAGAAGAGAAGATAGGAAAATTTTGAAAAGCTGTTGTACATGTTTCCTCTGTTGTGTAAGAGAGTAAAATCTTATTATTTTACATTATTTAGCAAATAAACACACAAAATGCAAGTTATAACCAATCAGTAGTCAAGTACACAGACAGGTCTTAACAAGTAAGTGTTGGCAGGCAAGCATGTTGTGCATTGTCAGGAAGTCCAGCATGCATCAGCAGGAATATGTGCATGTAATGACTTGTTTATAATATGATACTATATGGTTACATGATGCAATATTGAGTCATCAAAATTCAATGCAGGAAAATACCACAAATTTACAATAAATTATTAAATTTAAGATGTGTCATTTAAAAAATTTTTAAATTTTTTTGAAATGACACAAATTTTTTAAAAATGTTAAAGGGTTAAAGATTTCTAGGGTGGCACTGAGCAATTTTTTTTTTAAAAGGGGGCAGTGGGCCAAATAAGTTTGGGAACTTCTGAGTAGAACATCAAAAAACTCAAAAATTAATCAGTAAAAATTTATTAAGCACCTACTGTGTGCCAGCCACTGTGCTGAGCTCTGGAGATACAAAGTGGCAAAATGCAGTACCTGTCCTCAAGTAGCTTACAGTCTAACGAAGGAGACAACGTGCAAACAAATATATACAATGCAAGCTATACGTAGGATAAATAGGAAATAACTAACAGAGAGAAGGCACTGAAATTAGAGGACATTAGAGAAGAGTTCCAGTAAAACATGGGATTTTAGGTGGAACACTGTCAACTGGGCCGGAACTGGTGATGGGTGACAAGACCCAAACAAAGCAGGCTAGAGATGGGAGAGTCAGGAATCAAACAGAAGTTTAATTTCAAAGTGAGGAAAATGCTTTCAAGTGGAAGTCCTCTTGAGAACAAGGGCTTATGGCTTATGACAAGGGTAGGATTTTCAAGCATGAAAACACAAAAACACAGATATTCTTAGGTTTTGAGTAGAAAATTCCCACTTTGGCATTTTTGGGGACAGTACAGGCATTCTTGGGTCCTGTGGGAACAGTCTCTAAGTTATTAGAATCATTTTTTTTTTGCGGGGCAATTGGGGTTAAGTGACTTGCCCAGGGTCACACAGCTAGTAAGTGGCATGTGTCTGAGGCCAGATTTGAACTCAGGTCCTTCTGAATCCAGGGCCGGTGCTCTATCCACTGTGCCACCTAGCTGCCCCAAGTTATTAGAATGATTGAGCCTTGTGATTGCTTCAAGTTTAAAGGATCATTGAGCTTTGTGATTATTCATTGTGGTACAGAACCAGAGTTAATGTGGTGGGAATAGGAATGCAGCAACTGGTTTGTTTCACTTAGAAGTTACAGGTGCAGGGATTGTTCAGTGTCAGGAGATGTGATTGATCACTTTCTGCTGCAGCATGTCAGCTGCAGTACCAGCTCTCAGGTCCCTGGGAAATAGGAAAACTCTAACAAGTCTAAATAGTTAGTATAATATCAAAGCAATACAAAAATTACATGATTTTGCCAGAGAGTGAGATCATCCAGAGGGTGAGTGCAAAGGATTGTTGTTATGCCAAGCTCAAGACACAGCTTGCTTACTAGGCCTTAGCTCTGGAAGACATGGTGTCTCCTAATATCTTGACTACATAGAGGAAGCCAAGGAGGTCAGTGGGCAGAGTTTGAGGAGGAAGACCTTATGGGACAACCAAAAAAAAATGTCCAGAGTGGAGAAATGGAATATCTTGTTCATAGAAGAGCCAGATGGCCAGTGTCACTGGATGAAAGGGTATATGGTGGGGAGTAAGATGTAATAAGACGAGAAAGGTAGGAGGGGGCTAGGTTATAAAGGTCTTTGAATGCCAAATAGCATTTCGTATTTGATCCTAGAAGTGATAGGGGATCCGCTGGAACTTATTGAATAGAGGATGTGACAGGGTCCTACCTATGCTTTAGGAAAAATCCCTCTGGTGGCTGATTAGAGGATGGACTAAAGTAGGGACAGACTTGAGGTAAGAAGACCCACCAGTAGGCTGTTGAAGTAGCTTAGGCATTCATGTTAAGGAAGCTTGCATTGAGTGGTATAAGTGTCAGAGGAGAGAAAGGATATGTATGAGAGATGATATGAGCTAAATTCTATAACCAAATAAGCTACTTCTTCATTGGTGTAGTATTTTTCTAAGCAATGTTGTATGGAACTTCCATACTTTTGATGACATAAATGTTTTCTCCATCCTCTCTTTAGTATTAGACTTTATCCCCTCAAGCAAGCCACATGGTATCCTATGCCTACTTTGAGTCTTGTTGATCAAATAGATAGCCTCTTGACAGGGATTCAGTGTTGGAAATAACAACTTGTCTCATTTTATTAATTGTTCATGCCAGATGAATAGTGAAAGAGCAATAAAACAGCATTTATTTTTCTACTGATATACCTCATGAGGGGAGGACAGGCTAGTAAGAATTTCATTTAGGTTACTCAGTTCAGAGTACTTATTTATATGGTTTGGTTCAACTCAGAGTAGAAGTAAATGCTTCTGTTTATCCCAGGATTATAACATTGTAATTAGAAATTAATCTTGGGAAATCCCATTTAAGTACGCTCTTTTTTTCCCCTGGAAAGTCAGACTTAGATCCTTCTCTCCTGTCATGACCACTAGTGGAATAGTATCTAGTCCTTTTCCCAGAATCCATCTCTCTGTAGTGCTAAATCTATGATTTATTTTTCTGAATTCCATCTCTCAGTCTATCAATATGCATTTATTAAACGATTGCTGTGTGCCAGAATGTGCATGGTGCTGCGGATGCAAGAACAAAGAAGGAAATAGTCCCTGTTCTCAAGGATTTTATAGTCTAAATGAGAGAGAGGAGTATGTATGTACAGCACACACACACACACACACACACACACACACAGAATAATAGCTAGTATTTATATTGCATTATATAGTATTTAAGGCTTGCAGAGTGCTTTTCAAATATATATCTCATTTTATCCACATAACCAGCCTGGGAGGTAGGTATTATTATTGTCATCATCATCATCCCCATCTTATAGATGAAGAAACTGAGACTGAGATTAAGTGACTTGCCCAGGTCACACAGCCACTAAGTATCTGAGGAAGCATTTGAACTTCAGTTTTCCTGACTCCAGGTCCCAGCATTCTATCTACAATACCATCTATCTACATTATGTACAATTATATGGTTAAATATAAGTAGTTTGGGAGTGAGAACACTAGAAATTGTGTGTGTCGGAGAGGGAGGGGGTGAATCAGGAAAGGTTTCATGCAGAAAATGGTGCTTGAGTTGATCTTTGAAGAAATTTAAGGTTAGGCTAAATCTCAATGGTTTGTTCATAGGCAAGTTGAAAAAGTTGCTTATGTTTCTTCTCCCCTCTCTAGTCTCTGTACGTCTCTCTGCCCATTCTACTGGAGTGTATCCCTTTCCAGAATGAGAACCGAGAAAGTTGGTGTTCAGCCCCACAACTGCCTGAGGAGCTCCGACGTATTGTGTCCATCTATCAGGCCACCTTGGACCTCCTCCGGCAGTATGAGGTTCACCCAGAGATTGCCTCCCAGATGTTTGCCTACCTCTTTTTCTTCTCCAACACGCTACTCTTCAACCAGCTCCTGGACAAAGGTGAGGTGGGGTATGAGAGGGTCTATTCCCCCCAAGGGTATTTAATCTCTTTTTTTCCCTCTTAACCTGCAGACTTTGAACCTTTGAACAATAAGGAACCATCACAAGAAAATATTAATGAGAAGTGTCTTCTTAACCCGTAGCCTTTTCAAATGTTTTCAATTTCTAATGCTTGTCAAATGTACAAAGAGCAGGGTAAGAAAGGTGGGAGTGGTGTAGGTTAGGTATTCAGCAGAACCTTCTGACCACAAAGGTTGTGAGACTTGAGAATTTGTTGCTAAAAAGGTGTGTGGAGGGGCAGCTAGGTGGCGCAGTGGATAGAACACTGGCCCTGGAGTCAGGAGGATCTGAGTTCAAATGTGACCTCAGACACATAACACTCACTAGCTGTGTGACTCTGGGCAAGTCACTTAACCACATTGCCTAGCCAAAAAAAAAAAAAAAAGATGTGTGGAGTTGTCTTCTCTGGAATTATTGGTATATTCCCTTTAATATTCCCAATTATGCTCAGCCAAGCATCAGCCTTGGATTATTACTCTGTTTGACACCTTCACTCCTATACACCTGTTCCTAAATGAAGATACAGAAAATCATGCAACTTTTCTGACTGGGTCATTGATAAATTATATTATATAACTTTAGTTTGGGCAGTCCTGCTGTGCCTATTCTATCATCTTACTATCCTGCTCTCCACAGTGGCTCTTCTAAACCTTCTCAGACTTCCCATAACTCCTCTCCTTGTACCCTCTCAGCCAAGAACTCTGCCTTATATTTTATAGGAACAGTTAAGGCTATTTACTTGAAATCCCTCTTCTCCCTTCTTCCTTAACTCCTGTCATTCATGTGCCTTCTGCCACTATTCTCCTCCTTCACCTAGCTTTCACGTGAGTAAGTAGCTCTCCAAAACTAACAGCCCCTCTAACTGTTCAGCAGTCTCTTTTCCAAAAGATTACCCCCTCTGTCATCCCCACTCTTTCAGTATTTTCATTCTCTCCCTGTTGCAGTAGGTGCTTCCACTTTCTCTTCTCTCAGTCCTTTCTTAATGTCTTACAGTCTGGCTTCCTACCTTATCATTCCACTAAAACTGCTCTCTCTAAAGTTACCAATGATCTCATAGTTGCCAAATCCAGTGGTCTTTTCTCAATCCCTCATTCTTTGACACTTGTTGATCACTTTCTCATCAATACTCTCTTCCCTCTAGGTTTTCAGAATGCCATTCTCTGTTGGTTCTTCTACTGTCTATCTGAGCACTCCTTCTCTGTCACCTTTAGTGGATCCTCTTCCAGATCACAGCCTCTTACTGTAGGTATCGCTCAGGATTCTGCCCTGGGCCTTCTTCTGTTTTCCCTCTGTACTGCTTCACTTAGTGATGTCAAGCACTCTTACGGATTTAATTACCATCTCGATGTTGATGAGTCTTAAATCTACCTATCTTGCCCTAAGCTATGTGCCGACCTCCAGTCTCCCACCTCCAGCTGCCTTTCAGATATCTCAAATTGGATGTCCGATAGACATCTTAAACTCACTATGTCCAGAACAAATCATTATCTTTCCCCTAAAGGCTGACCCATTTCCCCACATTCCCTGTTGCTGTAGAGAGCAACACCATCCTCCTAGTCCTTTAGGCTTGCAACCTAGGAGTCATCCTGACCGCACTGTCTCTCACCCCCATTTCCAATCTGTTGCCTAAGCTTGTTGATTGCACCTTTGTAACATCTGCCAAATACGCTTCCTTCTCTTCTCTGACTCTGCTACCGCTCTGGTACAGGCCCATATTGCCTCATGTCCACATTATTGCAATAGCCTGCTCGTTGGTCTGCCTGCCTGCCTGAAGTCTTTGCCCATTCCAGTTCATTCTTCACTCAGCCACTAAAAGGAAGGAGCTGTGTTGCCCAACTGGCCAGTTCCACTTGGGTCCCCAGTGAGGCAGCTCCTACTACTGCTCACAGATGTTGTTGTTTGTCTTTCCTTCTCAAAGAGGACCATGACATCAGGGAGGTGATGTCATAACTTGCAAGCGAATTGGATTTAAGTGAGGGAGAGCTGTGCAAAGTCACCAGTCTCACTTTCTGCTCTGGAGCCATGTGGGTCCAGTGGCAAGATATAGATCAGGATGACTGGAGATTGGTTCTGAGTGAATGTAAATAGCATTTGTTTCTGTTTTGTCCAGAAACCCTAAGGGTCTTCTACTCCCAAATTGATTTTTTTTCCTTTTTGACCAGGTAAAATAGGCTGTTCTCTGCCTCATTTCTTACCTAGTCTTAATTGCTGAATAGGTGTTGCCTCAGTGAAACTGAGACCTGTTAAAGACCTTAGCTTAAGAAGGCCAAGGTCTCCTGCTGCATCCAGGGCCCTATATTTGTGTCAAATGATAGCCAACCATTGGAATTTTTCTGGGCTAAATAGGAGCAGGATGCAGTGAGGAAGTGCAGACATGTTGAGACTTAAGAAAGTTCCGCTTCAGGGAGCCAAAATGGTGGAGTAACAAGTCACTCTTACACTCCCTTATTGACTTCTGAAAGCCCAGAAAATATTGCCCCAGGAAAAACCATGGAACAGCTGAGCCAGCTGAAAGACGGGGTGCAGCAGTCTTGTAGCCTAGGAAGCTTGGGAGAATAAAGGGAAGAGCCCCTCTTGCTCTGGGAGCAGGGGAGCAGTATAGGACGGTGGGTGTCCCAGCAAGCTCAACCTCAGCATACCAGGGGGAGATTCTGAGCCCCAGGGTTGTGAAGCAGGCAAGCGCCAACAGCAGGACCTCCCCCCCCCGCCCCCCCGAGTACCTCAATACAGACACCAGCTCAGAAAACCACCACTTGTGACAGCATTCTCCTGCAGTCAAATCTCCTGGTGCTTCAGCACAATTCCAGGAAGCAAAGCTCCAGGCTGACAGCAGCTAAACATTCAGGTGCAAGGCCTGGGTGAGCAGGTGTCTCCCAGGGGCCAAACTCCCTACCCCATGAGCTTCAGTACTGCTGTCCCCAGCCCAGCACCAGGTAAACTACCAGAACCCTTCAACCTCCAACTTCTAGCACCTGAGGCCCCAGCTCACAAAGCCAGTGACTGGGTCCCAGGCTTCTAGTACAAGAAGTTTGGGTCAGTGCCTTCTGCACTGCAGCAAGAGAGCTCAGTTTTTTTTTAAGTCAGGAAATAGGCAAACACTATGAGCAAAAAGCAGAAACGGACAATGACCATACATTCTTATTATGGGAAGAGTGAAGGTCAAGGCACAAATTCAGAAGAGGACAACATTGTCAATATACCCACATCCAAAACCTCAAACTGAATATGAACTGGTCTACTGCCTAAAAACCCTTCTTGGAAGGGCTCAAGAAGGATTTTAAAAGTCAGATAAGAGAAGTAGAAGAAAAATTGGGAAAAGAAATGAGAGGTATGCAAGATAGAGTCAATAGCTTGGAAAAGGAAGGACAAAAATTAACTGTAGAAAACAAGTCCCTAAAAATACAATTGACCAAATGGAAAAAAAGCATACTGAAGAAAACAACTCCTTAAAAAGTAGAATTGGCCAAATGGAAAAGGAGGTACAAAATCTAAAAGAAGGAAACAATTTGTTAAAAATTAGAATTGGGCAAGTGAAAGCTAATGACTCTATGAGAGATCAAGAATCAGTCAAACAGAAACAAAAAAATGAAAAAATAGAAGAAAATGTAAAATACCTCATTGGTAAAACAACTGACTTGGAAAATAGATCCAGGAGAGACAATTTAAAAATTATTGGTCTGCCTCAAAACCATGTTGAAAAAAAGAGCCTGGACAGCATCTTTCAGGAAATCATTAAGGAAAACTGCCCTGAGGTCCTAGAACCAAAGCGTAAAATAGCCATAGAAAGAATCCACCAATCACCTCCTGAAAGAGATCCCAAATTTGAAAACATCAAGGAATATAGTAGCCAAATTCCAAAATTACCAGGTCAAAGAGAAAATATTGCAAGCAGCCAGAAAGAAACAATTTAAATATCATGGAACCAGTCAGGATTATGCAGGACATTGCAGCTTCTACATTAGAAGATTATAGGGCGTGGAATATGATATTATGTAAGGCAAAGGAGCTTGGATTACAACCAAGGATCAACTACCCAGCGAAACTGAGTATAATCTTTCAGGGAGGAGATGGACATTCAACGAAATAGGGGACTTCCAAACCTTCCTGATGAAAAGACCAAAGCTCAACAGAAAATTTGATCTTCAAATACAAGACTTGAGAGAGGCATAAAAAGGTGAAGAGGAAAGAAAAAAAAACCCAACATGTTATTAATAAGAGCAAACTGTTTGCATCCCTACAAGGGAAGATGACATTTGTAACTCTTGAGAACTGTATTGTTATTGTGACATTTAAAAGGGGTATACCTAGACAGATGGTTTGGATATAAGTTGACTTTGATGTGATGATAAAAAATCTAAGTAAGTGGTGAAAAGGGATTGTACTAGGAGAAGAGAAAAGGAAGAGGCAGACAAGGGTAAATTACATCACATGAAAAGGTACAAAAACCTATGCCAGTACAGGAAAAGACAGGAGAGCGATGAGCATTGTTTGAACTTTATTCTCTTCAGATTTAGTTCAAAGAGGGAATAACATGATCAGTTAGATATAGAAATCACACTTATCTTATAGGAAGTAGGAGAAAGAAAAGGGAGGGAGTGAATAGAGGGAGGGAAGCAGTAGTAAGGGTAAAGGGGAAGAAAAAGGAAGAGACCAATAGAAAGGCAGGCACACTGAGGGAGGCAGTGGTTGAAAGCAAAACTTTAGTGAGGAGGGAAAGGGAGAAAGGAGAGAGAAAAGCACAAACAAGGGGAAAATAGAATGGAGAGAAAGATACAGATAGTAATCATAACTGTGAATGTGAATGCAGTGAACTCTCTCATAAAACAGAAGCAGATAGCAGAGTGGATTAAAAACCATAATCCTCTAGTACGTTGTTTACAAGAAACACATTTGAAACAGAGGGATACACACAGAGTAAAGGTAAAAAGCTGGAGCAGAAT